AGTCGAAATTCGATAATTGACCACATAATAAACATTGTGGTATATGGTTTGACTTAGGGTAAATAATCTGAAAATTAATTATGTCTCTACTAAAAAAAGGTTTAAAAAAGGGGTAAAATTGAGAACCTCCTTCTTTTGGAAAGTCGGTTCAAAATATGATTGAAATAATCACTATTATCGATATAAAGGCCGAATATATAGTTTTTAGAATTTTTGTGTCTGTCTGTCTGAGAACGCATCACAAGAAAACCACTGGACGGATTTTGATGTGGTATGATGGTAGCAAGGATGAACCCGAGCGAAGCGAGGCTGAGTCGCTAGTATGTATATAAAAATAGGATCCTAAGAAGTCTCGATCTAAGTTGTGCTTATAAAACAGGCTAAACTTTCCGAAGTAGTTTCCATTCAGCATATTATTTAGTTTATCTGAGCGGAGTAAAGACGGGAATATATTTCTACATAAACCTATACTATATGTACAGAGCATCTCTAGTCTTCCTATAAACGGTACAATCTACATACGGTTGATTGTAACACTTCACACGTTTTTTGCGTTGCCTTTCTCACTATATACACTATAAAGTGACATTATTGTAATACTCTTATTGTGGAAGCTGGTTAACGGTAGTTTAACTAACGGAAGATTTCTCCTAATACTTCGATTAAATCTTATCTACGTTAAAGTGATTTTATATTAATTAGATATTCCACATTTAAAATGTTTTAATTAGCATCAAATTATTACATTTTCTTTTACTGAACGACATGAGTCCTCTACCAGTTCGGACAGAAAAAGCCTCAAACCTGAGAGGAACTGGTGAAAGAAACTCATACTGCATTGGATACTAATACTAGTAATAATAATTACACATTCCTTTTTAATATTTCACTTACTTTATTTTATTTTAAAGTTAAAAATATTGTAAATACCTATGTAGGCTTATATATTTGTCCCACCATACCTTCCAATTTTTTTTAGTGTCACGTACATTAAAAAATTAACCATATTTTATTCTTCCTTTTCTATATTATCGTCGGTGTTATTTAAAAGTTAAAGCGATATAGTTTTTCATTTTATGTTTGCTTTGGGTCCCCAATAGTATTTACAATAGAACAGATAGCGGAAGCGACTTCATTTTTTACTATGTAAAGAACAGGAGAACAAAATGGCAGACTGTATCTTTACTAAACTTCGTTTTTCCAGTATAATAATACTAGGGAAAATAACATACTTTAAATATTATAACTGTACTAGAGGCTCATCTACGCTCCGCTCGTGTTTGTCCTTAGGAACGTTTTAACGTTTAGTATAGATTTCTCAGAGATGAGATGTTTTCCCGCAATAAAAAGTATCCTATATGTTGACCCGGATAACCAGTTATCACCATACCAAATTTTATCAAAATACCTCCAGTGGTTTTTTCGTGATGCGGTAACAGACAGACAGACAAAAAAATATAAAAACAATAGATTCGGGCTCTGTATCGATAATAATGACTATTTCAATAAAAAATTCCAAAAAATATTTAATGTACAGATTCGGCTTAGTTAGAATTTTATTATATGTATAAAGTTCCTGACAGATTTTAAACTTATTGTCTCATTTCACTGCCGTCTACTTAAAGTATGTTATAGTGCCCGAATTGCATTTTGCTTACATTTCATTAACATTTTGTTGTTGTATCACCAATTTCGGGCGGCTGCAATTTAGAACTTTTTGATAGATAAATAATATCCTTTATGCTTAATGTCCAACTCCCGAAACCCAGAGGGACCTACATATGATCTGCATATGATGTCGCTACTGTGACGAGGAAGCCATCAACTATAACGGCCCTTACTGTGTCTTTATAATTTAAAATTAATATAGAACTAAAATTCTTAATATATATCGAAAAATTAGGAGAAAAAATCTTTATAATAAAAGTATTTCAATAGATTTTTTGTAGTAAGTAATAGTCGGTTCAGTAGACCGGTCTTGAGCTTCCGATTTTCAAAGCAGCGGTCAAATTTAACGGTTGCGGATTACACAGAGACGCACGATGGGTTAAGCCGCGGGTATCATATATATTTAAGTAAGTAGATAAAGTTCATTCGTTGTAAGTTCTATTCCCACGATAGCGAAATGCAGCAAGCGGAACGTAATACTGTTCTTTTTGCAACGCCCATTGTAACGCTTCCGGATGTGACCGTTAATTTGCATGAATGCTATCAATTTGGTAATGGCGTCATTCATTTTATATATTTTGTACTGTGACAATATATATAGGCTACTATGTGTTCGGTATCACATGGGATTCGGGAGAATATTGGCAGTACCATAGCGTTTACATTAATTGAATTAATGTATCGATTCAGACTTAATTTATACGTAAAAAAATATTAATATCGTAGCAAAATCGAGTTTGTTCATTAAATATTTTTTAAATATAAACATTTCTATTAGAAGCAGAACGTGAAAATATTGTTGACTTAAAAACTGTTAGTCACACGACGCAGGTTCCACGACTATTTAAAACTTTTTACTTTTAAGTGATCGGTAGTGGTAACCCAGTGGCAACGCGCTCTCTTAGGAAACCGAGTGAAGCGGGTTCAAATCTCGCACCGCTAATATTTTCATGTGCGAATCATTTCTAACATGATTACCACTTGCCTTACGGTGAAGGAAAACATCGCGAGGAATTCTGCATGTCTGAGAGAACCTAGCAAGTTTTCGAAAGACATGTGAAGCACTTAGGCAGCGTGGTGGACTGTGGCCTGATGCCTTTCGCATTGAAGGGAGGCCCGTGCCCAGCAGTGGGACGTTAAAAAGGGCTGAATACGATCGTTATATGTGTGTCTTTTATACATATTTAATTAAATTTTATTAGTAGCTTGATCATCGCTAACCACAGCTCCTTATCAAAACCGATTAAATAAGCTATAACACGATATATCTAAGCTAATGTTGCAAGGACTCGAGTAGGCTATAAGTTATCCTAATAGCACTGATACTGTTATCGAATATACAAACATATACATCCCATATTTAGTAAAAAATTCTCTATGTTATATGAAATGCTTCCACGATTTGGAAAAGAGCCTTTTATATAGCAAACCTTATGAAAATACAACGAAGACACATTTTATAAAATGCTTTCATTCAAAAAAAACAGATGGAAATTGATTCCTCCGTTTGAGAGTTACGATATCTACCGCAGACATACATAGACGACAAAGCTTTTACATAATGCGCTCTTTACATATATAAAAATCAGAATCCGAATCCCTCGCTTTTCTTAATGCTATCACATTTTCTCACTCAAATTACCCAAAAAAAATTACACCACCAATTAAAAGTCTTAGTTTGTATTTTAATATGTATTTTAAATCGATTTATTGTGTTTGAGTTATTATTATTTTACAGTAAATATATGATGTAACGTAAGCAAAGTAAAACTGTTAAAGTTTAAGTTATTGAAATGATGGGTCGTGTGCCTGAAGTATGTTACGAAGTTATAGCATCGTATATTACATATACCTACCGATGTTTAATAACTAAAATTATATTACACATAATAAATTTTAATACAATATTATACGTATAATTTTGGTTTTTTAAATTTCAATAAAAGTTATTGTCATTGTAATACAGTTTTGGTCTGGTTATGTTAATTTATATTAGGGAATTCATATATGATTTCAGTACATTTGCAAGCATTTTAAAGATTTGGTCGTGGGCATTTAAAATGTATAATACATAGGTACTTTATTTTCTTAAATAAGTCACAAATACATAGAAATAAAAACTATTAGTAGCCTACCACGATTCCTCTTGCCTATTATACTATACATACATACCTACTCGTATGTATACAGTTTCTCCTTGGATGCTTTTCATGATTTTGTTTCAAGCATGTAGGTGTGCAAAATTAGTCTGTGGAACGTGATAGAAATCAGAAGCAAGGTGTCGCTTTGATATAGTATAATAGTCTCAGTATCGTCGTCGACTCATGTTCGATGTCATATGATCCACGTTCCGATTGGCTGCTGTCATGGAACGCGCCGGTCGCACCCTATTCCAATATGTTCTGCTATCTTGGAACAGCTTGTCAATATTTGCAAATACAACCTCGTTTTCTTTAGTTCTTAGTGTATGTTTGAGGTAAGAGCTGTTTATTTTATGTCTGAATCGCATATGGTTATAAGATCATCTCGATTTCGGACGTTTTTAAATATACAATATCGTGAACTTCCCAACTAAGTGCTAAAAGATATAAAACTCAGTGATTTCTTTATGTTTATGAAGCGAATAGTGTGTTTTACTTACGATTTTTGGATATGTATTATATATTTGTTAAGTGCAGTGCTTAAAAATGGCGTAGAAAATTCTTCTTTATAATTAAGCTATAAGTTTAAGTATCAGCTTCTGAATGGCTTTTGTTATTACATTAAACATTTAAGTAGCTCCATAAATTGGAGGTTTATCTCAAACAGGTTTCATTTTAGGTGGGTTGTGCGAGATATGACGTTCATTAAAGTGCTCTGCGATCTCACGGCGAATTAGCTAGCCAAGTGGTTGCCGAGTGAATGGTCCTCGAATTGTTTGCTAATTACATGCTACAGTTAGGCTTATGCAATTACTATCTTCTGAGGAACAGGCTTTAGGAAGGAGTAGGTGTTTTATTGTATGCTGTTATACTCCCTATAAGCAGTAATCAATTTCGGTCTAATATTGGGAGCATAAATACATATGTATACTTTTCCAATTCAATAAATTTAAAATTTATAACGCAATGTTGCATTTTTTATTAAATTGTTTAAAAGTAATTGTGAAAGAATATTCAATAATAAAAGTCACACTACGGTGTCGTGCTCGACGCCAATAATATTTCTTTGTATTTTTACGTCCCATGTTCAACGTATAAAGTAAGAAAAATATTATCCGCGATCGTTCATAATGAACATCGCCAGTTTATTATTTCGGGCCGCAAAGGAATCCACATTTCGCGTCGTCGCTAATGAAATTGGAGAAGCCAGGTCAAGTAGCGCTTTTATACGACGATTTGTTTGTAAAATTACATTTTTGTTTTACAAGCAAAGCGGCGTTTGCGAAAATTCGTATCAGCGTGGTCGTGCGGACAGGAGCGGAGGCGGAAAGATCTGTTGTCCTGTTTCAGGAGCATCGATTGGCGTTCTCTACTGCGTGTACGGGAATACGTGCCTTGTACAATGGTGTTAGGGGTGGTATTTATTTTTCAGGGCATGGAGTTATGTCGTACGGTTTTCGGTGCGGCCGGGCTCCACGCGGCCGGCCGGTACCCGCAGTGCCGCGCCGGTCGCCGGCTTTTACGCTCGCGTCACAGCAACTCTAGCCAAATACGCCAGCGTTGTTCGATAACATGCGACGCGTTGCGGTAGGTTTACGAATACGACTGACGGGGATTGTGTGAATTTTTTACGGAATTTAATATATGTGTCCCAGTGTTTTGTAAGACGGATAGTTTTGTGCGTTTATTCTGATGTGATGACGGCAAAAATAATTGCGTTGTGGTATCTGTAGGTATTGTTTGTGATACTAAATTAAATGTAAACGCTGTAATGGCTTGTGTTTCCACAATTTCAATAGGTTTACTGAAATAATAGTTGTTTAATGCGTATTACGATTTTCCCTGATAATATTGTGCGTTACTATATATATTTTAATGAAATTTATTAGTGTAAAATAAGGAATATATAAACATTTTACAACATTTGTAGTAATATGTGTTATAGAAATATACGTTGTCCTTAAAATATTATCAATTTATTTTAGCCATGAGGACCATATGTAGAACTGCTCGGATAAAAAAATAATTACAGGGTATATATAATGTTTAGGCTAATTCATTATATATATACACATTATATATATATATATATATGCACATAATATAGCATTACTCTAGATAGAGATAGATTTCATCCAAGATCGTAATGTCCGCTGTATTCTTTTAATTAATAGCTTTATTTGATGAAGGATCTTCGTTTATGGCACTTCACGGAAATTCGAGGTTTCGGAGTACGATGCCAGTCAAAAGTCTATAAATATTTGAATGCCGTGATTGATATATATGACATGTGAATCAATTTATGCCATATCTTTTAATTTGTTTTTTTTTTTATGAAAAATAACGAAGGTTATTAAGGTTATTAATTAGAATATTATTAAGGATATTTTATGATAACAAGATTTATACACGAGCTTTGAGCTTTTTCTTATTTTATTATATCTACGCAGTTTCTCATAGTTATTGATCGAAACGAAAGTGTCATCTGTGGTGAGGCTATTTAGGTTGTTTATCTGGTATCGCAAATGACCCATCTCGTTGTGTACAAAAAACGTAAACATCAATATCCGCCCACAAATAAGACGCTCTTTTTTGAATACATTTACGATGAAAAGATAATCGTATTCCTACCTAAAATGCGAATTTTGTCTCCAAGTAACATATTATATTTAATTCAAATATATTATAGACTAAGATCCCGATCTATGTGGTGGACCCTATACTCTTTTTCCAGGCGAAATTATTTTTTTAACCATAAAACTATAATATATAAATAATTAACATAAATATTAATAAATATGACCCAGTGGGGTTGTCACCAAGAATTTGCTCCAGACTATTTTTAATTGAAAAACCTCTAGTCTGGAGATGTTTTGGTATAACAAACCTATATCTTTAAATTTGTAATAAATTTGTTTGTATCTACATTTTGATACTTGGTTGGTTTCAGAAAATACGATCCGATACGAACAATTAACTACTTCAATTTATCTGTATACTTGAATGGCATGTTTTGTGGATTCTAAAAAGGCCACCAACTGTATGATGACATTTTCTGATACTAAGTTGTCACAGAAAATGAGTTCTTGTACTTTAAAAAAATATTTAAAAATAACAAACAGAAGAGAACAGAGAGAAGCACAAACAGATCTTTCCCACGGGAACCGTTGATTTTAACGGGATAAAAAGTAACCTGTTGTTTGACTGGCAATATAAGTAAGGTATCAGCATGCCTAATTTTACTAAATTAGGTGCTTAAGTTGTTGTGTACTAATCTGTATAAGTTACTATAATTTTTTTAACTATCCCACGAGAACTCTTTAATTTTCCGGAATGAGAAGTATCTCAAATGTAGACCTGGGATATTAGGTACCATCATGCTAAATTTCATTTAAATCGGTCCAACAGTTTTGGAGGTTAGCCCGTATAAACAGACAAACAGAGAAACAAAAAAAATGAAAAAAAAAATGGATTTGTTCTATTAATCTTACATCCCCTTGACTCGGTTTTTAGCAGTTTTTTTCTTTGTACAGACATTAGACCTCTACAGTTTTATTATATGTGTAGATATAGATAGGAATAATATCTACTCGCTATACTTTTATTTCAAATTCAATCTTATTTAATATTGAGTCAAGTTTCTGAGTCAGTAATAATGGGTGTTATACCAAACGAATGAAGATATTGTTTTCGGTGTAATTTCAAACTAAAATATTTGCCAATTCATATTTATGCATAATTGAATGAATTCATCCACATATTCCCACGTCTTGTAAAATCGTGTGTCACGCAGTATCTCAATTTTGTTATACGGTCATACTGGGTCGCTTCTAAATATAGCCTTGCGATATAATTATTGCAATGACAATATTATTGTCGATTGAAATAAAATGTATTTGACATCGGTTGTTTTCGTACGTATACTTTAATTAAAATTATTAAATACTAGAGACTCACCCTCGCTTCGCTCGGGTTCGTCCCTACTTCCGTTTTACCGTTTAGTATAGATTTTTCAAAGATGAGATATGTTCCCGCAGTTTTCATGTTGACCCGGATAACCAGATATCACCATACCAAATTTAATTAAAATCTGTGCTGTAATTTTCTCGTGATGCGGTAACAGACAGACAGACATAAGTTCTAAAAACGATAGATTCGGCCTCTGTATCGATATTAATGACTATTTTAATAAGATTTTCCAAAAAATATTTAATATACAGCTTCGGCTTAGAATTTTCTTATATGTTTAGATTTTCTAATAACATTCCTATATACAATATACATATAGGTATATTACTTAGACACTAATTAAAATTACTTATATTGCTTAATTCTGTATATATGTAAATTGAATTGGCGTCTCTCGGTAAGTGTTAACTTTTAGACTACACTTTCTATAATATTCACGTATTAGTCATCGCGAATGATCTTTAATATTAAAAATATAGTAAAGTAATTCCCTAGCATCTATTTGAATTTAAATTAGTTGATGGCATGTTCGTTGCTATCTTAACCCCTGCTGGGGAGCGATGAACTTTGGTATTGACGTGTTACCCTGTTTTAAGGTTCTACTGACTGACAGCCAGGACCTTATAGTTTTTTTTCCTAAAAATCTGTGTTGAATACTGATAATATTGAGAATAATTATGCATTATTCTGAAAATAATTTTTTATCCCATTTCTCTGGCTCTATCGTAGTTTAGTATTCTTCAAAGAAGCTCAAACTAAAAATTTAGCCTTTGAGATGTTGACTTGCTGGATGCCACTATAAAAAAGAAAAGAAAGAAATGTCGATTTCAGATAGATTTTCATTTTACTGTTTGATATTAAATCTAGTTTTGATGGTAAAAAAATGTTTTTATTTGCCATAACCATGACATCAGTATCTCTATTTGGTTAATATAATAAATTAATAATCTAAATAACACCTTATGTGCTAAGTGTTCGTAAATTTTTAATTTAAAGTATATTTAACGATTTTTTTGAACTTATATAGTAATGAAATATATGTTAATTATTCTTTCAACTTCTTTCTCTTAATCTTTCTTCTCTCCTTTTTGATTTATTAGATTAGATCAGATGCATATTTTTTTATATGCCTACAAAATATTTTCAAATCTTAGTATCTTTTTGTTATTGTAACTCGTACTTAACCAGTTTATATACAGCTCAGTAGAGTAGGCGAATATTATTAGCAATTGTTTCGATGAATCATTCATGATTAGGTCTACATCTTACAATAGGTAGGGTTGCCACATATTAATAAATAAAATTATGAAGGTATTGGTGACATTATTACTTTTGTACTTCAAGTAGACTTAAATTTTTATATAATAAGCTTTTAAACCAGGTGTCTGGATACTTTGGCGGTGAATCATTTTTAATTTTCTTAAATCTTATTCAATTGACACCTATCGATACGAAAGCACCACCTGATGTTGCTAATTTTGTATATGAGAAATCACTTACTCGGACTTTCTCTTGCAACTCGGTGAGGTCGAGCATTGGCAGGCATTTTACGGGTTAACACGTTTACGCAAGCTAATTGTGCTTTACAATTTGTTTTTTCATGTTCTTGTAATTTGTTCGTTCTGATTTCTTTTGCGTATATTGATTTTTTTTATTAAATTATAATTGTTTATAGATTTTCAGAAGAGACTTGTTAAATTATATTTATAATTCTAACTTTGTTTGTGGCTTTTTAATTTTAAAGTATTGTTTACTAAACACAGTTTGTTGTAAATGCAATAAAATGAAATTATATACTTTGGTATAATATCCTCATTTTGATTGCAATTTGGTCAGTTAATACTGTTGTTTAGTTAATACATATTTTTTCAAATTAAAAACTTGTAATAATCTTGCGGTGTATAATGCTATTGACCGAGGTGATGGGATGTTATCGAGTGCGGGCTATCGTAAACAGTTGCGCCGGCGCATGCAGATGATTGTGTAAAAATAGACCGGCTGGTGCGTTTTTTTCAAAGATTAATCATACTTTTTTATAGAAACTAATTTTGTATTCATTGTTGGTTATGTTGTTCCTGCATGTCTGTATATGTATTTATGTACGTACTTTTGAAGAACATGTAATTAAGATGTTTTTTATGTATTACTTTTACGTTGGCATGGTTATTTATTACTTGAAAGATTTGCTTACTAAGTTATTTTGGTATATTATTAAACATAATTCTCTAATAACTGTTTTAACTACCAAAATATTAAGCACATTAAAGCGATGATCTCGGGCTCTCGTACTAAAAAAAGTCGTTGCAAGGCAAGGCCAAATTTCAATTCCAACAACATTCAAGGCATACCATTAAGCGCAGCGTACCCCTTAAGATGCAAATTGTTACATAAAACGAAATACTTACCCGACGAGATACCTACGATACGCGGTTATAATAAACTCAGAATCTGATCGCGCTGTTCGATAAATATCCGTCGAATTCGATGTTTTCATTTGGTTGGCATTGATAGAAGCTGTTCATTAATACGAAATCCGAGATCGATATCAAAAAAGTACAATGACGTCTGATCTT